GCCCAGCCCATCAGGACGGGCAGGTTGATGCTACAGCTCGAGGGCGTGCCCTCGCTGGAGGAGGTCTGCATCGAGGACGGGAAAGGAAAAGAGAAGGAAGAGAGAGGACAGAGAGGAGGAGGAGGAGGAGGAGGAGGAGGAGGAGGAGGAGGAGGAGGAGGAGGACAGGGAGGTGGACGAGGAGGAGGGAGGAGGAGGAGGAGGAGGAGGAGGCCGCATCGCCGATGCATCGGCGATGCGGCTCGGTGTGGAGCCCGGCTTTCTCCACGCCAATGGCGCCGACGCACCGCCGATGCATCAACAATGCGGCGCGACCTTCTGGCTCCGTCTGCTCGGACACCAGGATTCGGCGGCGTGCCCAGGAGGGAAGGCGGAGGAGGCCGCCATGCTCAGGCTCGTGCCTTCTGAGAGGCCGCATGTGGTTTCGGAGAAGGCTCAGAAGGCTAGAGGGCGGGGGAAATTGTGAGGAGCCCCGCCGCCTTCTGAGAAGGCCAGCCCCCTCTGCCTTCCCCCCGGGCTCGCCGCCGACTGGGAAGCTCACAAATTATTCGTCTTCTTCCCCAGCCAGGAAGACTTGGCCCTGATGGTCGTGCCCCGGCCACGACTACGACGACGACGACGACGACGACGACGACGATAAAAGTTCGAACGCAATGGGATTGGTGGAGTCGTTGCCTTCCAAGCGAGCTTCGACACCCGGCCAGGATGACGTGGCCCTGCTGCTCGTGCCCCACGACGATTGCCAGGAGGAGTTCGGGCACGCCCAGCCGCAGCGCGGCGGCTGGCTGTCGGACCACATCAACGCCGCCTTCGAGCTCGACACGCCCTCGCAGGGTGAGACACAGGATCGGAGGGGGGCCCTCGTCGCCGTCAACGTCATCGACGAGGTCGTCCTCTTGCTCCTCGTCCTCTCCCCGTGCCCTCCCTGCTTCGCACGCCATCCGTCCTCCTGCTTCTCTGGTAATCCTCCTCCTCCTCCTTTTCCTCCTCGGTCTTGGCCACGTCGGCTCAAGACGACTAGCGTTGCGGGCTCCGCCGCTCTCCTGCCACGCAAGGAGTAGCCCTGGTCCGAGCAAGCTCTGCTCCTCGCGCGCCTCGGATGTGCGTCTTCCTTCCTTGTTGCGGCTGCCTGCACCTGCCGCGCGGCGATCTCCAAGCGCCCCTGCCGCCCGCGAGACCCCTGCGCCCCCACCGCGGGGGCCCAGGCCACGCCCCTCTGGCGCCGCGCGCGCGCCGCCCCCCGCTGGGCCCCGACCATGCAGACCTGGCCGCAGCCGCAGCTCCCGCGCCTCCCCCGTTCCGGCCCACCACACCACCCACGAGAGCCGCAGCCCCCGCGGCGGAGGCGACCACCGTGGAGCTCCGCCACTGCACCGTCGCCGCCGCCGAGAAGGCGAGTCCACGCGGAGCCCCGCTGCTGCCCAGTCGCTGGCCGACGCCCTCAACAGCCAGCGCGCGACGATGCCCGCGCACCACCGCGTCCTCACGTCGAGCGCGGCACTGGACTCCAGCACCGACAGCAGCGCATCGTTGCTGCTGCCACAGACTCCGCCTCCAAGGCCTCCCCTGGAGCTGCCTCCACAGCCTCTGGCTCAATCCGATCCACCAGCTGCTCCTTGCGCCCGTCCACGTCACCCGGTTTGACGCAACGGTCGTTGCCGCAGCCGCACCTAAGAGAATTCTGGGACATGCTGGAGGGCACACAGCTCCCGTTGGAGCTCCCGTCGGTGCCACTGCCAATGCTGTCCCACTGGGCCCGCACCGAAGAGCTCCCTCGGACATGCTGGAGGGAACGCAGCTCACACTGGAGCTCCGCTCGGTGCCGCTGCCAATGCTGTCCCGTTGGGCCCCTGCCACACGCCAACCCATCCAGGAGTTTGCGATACATTTACCCGTCGGTCGTTGAAAGTAGGTCTTTTGGGGCTTCCAGCCCCCAATCTACGTTAGCCGCCTTCATACTTCAAGTGTTGAGTGGTTTTCCCTTTTTCTCTTCAGGGGGTGGGCGGAAGCCCAATCTACTTTCAACGCTTTCCTACTTAATGTTTTTACCTACTTCTTCCGACCAACGTGTACGAAGGCCTCTTCGACGCAGCTCGCCGCGCTCTGCCGAGGATGCTCCCCCTCCTCCTTCTTCTCCTCCTCCTCCTCCTCCTCCTCCTCCTCCTCCTCCTCCTCCTCCTCCTCCTCCTCTGCATGCCCCTGCGCGATCACATTGAGGCCCGAGCTGCCCCTGGCTCGTTACGGGCTTACAGTCGAGCACCTGATTAAGACACCTCCCGAAAAGTTGCTCCAGCGTTTCTTGACCAACTTGGCGGAAAGCTGGCCCGGTTTCTTGAGCGCGTTCGCCCCTCTGGCATTAGCACGAACAATTGGCCCAAGTTTGTCTTGGGAAGTTTCCAGAAAGTTGGGCCAAGTCTCTTGCATGATAACTTCCTTGATCATATATTCGGCTGTAGAATAGGGGAACAGACAAGGACATAAACCTGAAAGTCCGCTTGGATTCCTCGGATCGGCGCTGAGGCCCCATGGCGGCGCCTCCAGCGCCGCCCCTGGCGCGCTCCGCGCGCCAGGGAGGGGGGAGTCCAGCGCCGGTTCAAGAAATCCGCGCGGACCTCCGAAAGTTTATGTTCATGTCATTGTTTACACTCTTCTGCGGTCCCTCGACTCGCGCTGGAGCGTCCACGATCTGATCCGGACTCCCCCTGGGCATCTCTCGATCCACTCCGATGCATCTGGATGGACCCAGATTTATCTGGGTGTGCCTGGATCCACCTGGCCTTCTCGCCACAGGCCGCCTGGGGAGAAGTCCTCAGGCCCTCTCTGGGAGCAGCCACCACCCGCCCGGCAGCCGTGGTGCACGAGCGCACCAGCAGCGTGCTGGGTCGCCGGCCCCGAGCGCCCGCACTGCAGCGCTGGCACCGAGCGATGCATCTGGGTCGACCCAGATTTGTCTGGGCTTGGCATCGCTCGGACGTGTGCATTTCTCCTTCGGCGAGGACCATCGAGGAGCATCCTTGATCATTTGGCGAAACAACCACGCACGAAACCGACAAAAAGCACAGGGAATGGACGTCCGAGCGATGGCTAGCTGGCCTTCTCGCCGCAGGTCGACTGGAGAGCAGTCCTCAGGCCCTCTCTGGGCGCAGCCGCCACCCGCCCGGCAGCCGTGGTGCACGAGCACACCGGCGGCACGCTGGGTCGCCGGCCTCGAGCGCCCGCACCGCGCGACCTGCCACGGGCGGGCCGCCGCACCGAGAGGAGCCCTTCCTTCAGGAGTCCCGGCGCGAAGTGCGCCGCACGCTGGAGCGGTTATAGGGGGCCACATGCGAACCCTCCCCCTCAGAAATCGTGGGGTGTAGGGGTAGGGTTCACATGTGGCCCCCTGGGTTGTCCACCACAGTCGCGCAAGCCAGGGCGCGCGTGCTTCCGCATCGTTGCTCTGGCCGACGCACGGTCGGTCCGAGCTCGTCGCGCCGCCGGTCTGCGGGGGGCGGGTTCCTCAGGAGGAGTTTCTTGTCGGGGTCGGCGAGTGCTGAGTGGGGCTTGCCAAGTCTGCGGGGGCACATTTAGGTGGTGGGTCCCACAGGCTGTTGGGGCGTCCTTGGTCCTGGGAAGTTTCAGTTTTGTAAGGACCAGGACTTCTGGAGGGAGCTGCCTGGAAGAGAGAGGGGCGATGCGAATGACCCCTTCCGTACTCGTTGTCTCCTCCTCTCGCCTGTCGCGTACTCCCCCTATCCCAACACTTTGGCTGCATGGAGGTGGACAGTACCGCCTCAGCCGGAATGGATTGAAAGCCTTATGTGTTCCGATGGCTCTGTGATGGCCCCCCGGGTCAAGCATTTCAGTATAGCTGGATGGGATCTTGCCATCATGAACGAGCAAGGCATATCGGGCCCACACCCTGGGCGTCGACTGCGCTACTTCGATTTCGGTTGGGAGCAGAGGTTGTCGTTCGGATCGCACGGGCATTCCTTTGGCGAACTCTGGCCCGAGGTCTTCTCAGAGGGTCGAGGATCGTGGTCTACACTCTGCCTCCCTGTGTAAGGCCCCCGCCCAAAGGTCCGGATGGGCGGCTGAGGCCTCGGGTTGCCCCGGCTGGGCCTGGCCTGGTAGCAGAGCTGCAGATGTTCTCAGCAAGCAGGCCGCCAGGCAGGTGCCCCACTCGGAGCATGCGCAGCAGGCGGAGGCCAGGCGGGCCGAGCGGCTTGCAGCCTCCCTGGCCGTGTGCACGGCCAGGCTCCTCGGTCATTGCTCTGGGCATCGCTTTGCCGATGCCGATCTCGTTGAGGCTAGAGCTGAAGCGAAGCCCGGTGATCTGTTCGTTGTGCCGAGCCCTGACGGTCATGAGTTTCAGCACCGTGGGAAGGGTTTCGCTCGTCGGATGTTCTGTCCCGCGAGAGGAGGTACATTGCCCTGGCCTTAACACCGTGCAGTGGAATTCCCAGAGTTATCACGCAGACTCATTCCTCGCAAAACTTGTGGGGGGTCCCGATGTCGTCTCGAATTCGGGTATCTGTTATTCTTCGTTGTGTGCATGTTTCGGTCGAGCGAAGGTATTTAAGCTGTCTGAGAAGTGATTGAGGCACCCTGCGAACAAGGATGCCGCCAATACCCTTGGCCTCCTTAAGAGGGGCGTCGACCCCAGCGCAAAGAAATTCTTCGACCGTGGCATACCGATCAGGAGGAGGTGTGTTGCTGCGTTGCCCAAGTGTTGTCCCAGCTCTGTCCCGTTCCGCTTTCGTCGCTCTGCTGTTGGCTTCACATCGTGGGGTCATGCTGAAAGGCTGACAGGAGAAGGATGAGAGGGGTGTAGGGGGGAGGAGGGAGGAGCGATGAGGTGGTGTGGCAACGATGCCGACGGCGACCATCCCAGGCGGAAGCCGAGCACAAGCAGAGGCTCCGGTGGGTGGAGACCTCCCGCACCGACGGGCAGTACCCGATCCGTTCCGTGTGGGTTCACCCGTCGATCAAAGGCCGGCCGCTTGTGCACGACGACCGTGATGAGGAGGGTTGATCTAGGCTTCCTAGATGGGGTCGGAGTAAATGGGGTCGGTGGATCGCGCCACGTCGCCGATGCATCGGGGATGCAACTCGATGTGGAGCCCGAGTTTCTCCACGCTGGCGTCGCCGCTGCATGTTCACGCGTGGTGATGAAGTGCAGGACGCTCGATGCGCATGATCATGCTCAGAGATTTTCAGTGCCCCTGAACGCTTCGCTAAAGAACACGAGGCCAGACTCGACGCCCCCATGCACGCACACACTCTCACGACTCGAATCGAAAACTGGAAGACGACGACGAATGCGCTACGGAGCAGAAGTAAAGTGGCCGAGAGAGCAGGAGGAGGGATAATAGGATCTAGATTTCTTCCGTCAGAGACATCCACGACAGCTCGCAACCGCAGCCACTGGGCCTTCGCTGGAGCTCCCGCTAGGGGCCACGAAGCGTGTAAGAGGTGCGCCGAAATGAGGCGGGGCCGCATGCCATCGAAGCTACTTGGGCCTTCGCTGGAGCTCCCTCTAGGGCCACGGAGCGCATGAGGGGTGTTCCGAAGTGGGCCCAAGGCGCCATGCGAGCCCTGCCACTGTGGCCTTCGGTGGAGCTCACTATGCGGCCACGAAACGTGAAGATGATGAGGCTGGTGGTGGTGATGATGATGCTGGTGATAATGATGTTGATGATGATGATGACGATGATGTTGGCGATGGTGATGATGATGTTGGCGGAGATGATTATGGTGATGGTGGTCATGATGATGCTGATGATGATGGTGATGGTGATGGTGATGGTACTGATGATGATTGTGATGGTGGTGGTGGTGGTGGTGGTGCTGATGGTTATGGTGGTGGTGATGGTGATGATGGTAATGTTTCTGTCGCTGATGATGATGATGATGATGATGGTGGTGGTGGTGATGGTGTTGCTGCTGATGTTGAGTATGTTGATGATGTTGATGATGATGGTGATGGTGATGATGATGATGTTGATGAATATTATGATGATGATGATGATGATGATGATGATGTTATTGATGATGGCGATGATGATGATGATGGTCATGGTCATGGTCATGGTCATGGTCATGGTCATGGTGATAGTGATAGTGATAGTGATAGTGATAGTGATGGTGGTCGTTGTGATGGGAAGAGGGAAGAGGTGGATGATGACGTGGAGTGAGGAGTGAGGAGGAAGAGGATAAGAGGGCGAGTAGGAGAGAAGATGATAGCGCTGCGGATTCAAACCGAGGACCCAACACACATCAAGGTTGAGAAACACATACCTTCGGAGATTTGTGCTGAGCGCGCTCACATAGGTAGCGCTCCGTCCATAAGGGCTTGACGACTTTTCGCCAACCGACTGGCGGGGGTCAAGACAGATAAACCGGGGTGAGTCCACATCAATCCATGCAAATCCAAAGAGACCGAGGCAAATCCAGAGCTCTCCGGGAAACTCTGGAGCAAATCGTGGACGCCTTGGCGCGAGTCGAGGGACGGCATAAGTTCTTAAGTTCTTAACGACCCACCGCAGCGGTTCGGGCGCGGCGCGGCGCTTTCGAAGCAGCGCGCGGCGATGCAGCAAAGGGCCTATCGGGGTCTTCGTGGATGCAGTTGTGGTTCCTCTTGGGAGCTGTTTTGCAGCCTCTCAGGGCGTCTTGGGGGCATCCTGGGGGCCTCTTGGAGTCTCGTGAGGGCATTTTGGGGCCTCCAGGGGGCATCGTGGGACGGAAGGCTCGAATTGTCGGTTCGGGCTTCCACTCTTGGGCCCCTCTTGGGCCGTCTTGGACGTCTTCGGGGCTGTCTCGGGGCCCTCTTGGGCTGTCTTGCGGCCCTCTTGGGGGCTTCTTAGGCCGTCCTGGGGCGATTTTTGGAGGCCTCTTGGGACTTATTGGAGCGTCGGAAGCTCGAAACGTCAACAACCCCAAACACACCGAAAGATGAGCCTTGCGAAGAACCCAGCCCATTTTCAAAACGAGGCGACTGTAAACCGGACCCCTCAATACATAAGAATACTGCGAGGGGCTTGCGGTGCCCCTGGACGCTTCGCCAGGAAACGTCAAACCGCGTTCAACGTTCTACATTCACACGCGCACTCTCGCGACTCTGCCCGCACAGGGGAGGACGGCGACGAACGTGCCGTGGAGTTCTTCATGGGGCCACGAAACGTGCGAGGGGTCTGCCGAAAATTGGCGGGGACGCATGCGAACGCAGCCACCAGAGCCTTCGGTGGAGCTCCCCATGAAGAAACGAAGCGTGTGAGGGGTTTGCCAAAAGGGGGCGGGGCCACATACGGACGCAGCCACTGGGGCCTTCGGCTGTGCTCCCCACGGAGCCACAAGACGCGTGAGCGGTCTGCCGAGATGGGGCGGGGCCGCGTTCGGACGCGGACACTGGCCCCTTCGGTGGAGCTCCCCATGAGAAAAAGAAACGTGTGAGGGGTCTGCCAACATGGGGCGCGGCCACATGCGGACGCAGCCACTGGGGCATTCGGTTGAGCTCCCCGTAGGGCAACGAGACGTTTGGGGGGTCTGCTGATTTTGCTGATATAGGGCGGGGCCGCATGCGGACGCGGCGACTGAGGCCTCCAGTGGAGCTCCCCATGGGTCCACGAAACGGGTGAGGGGTTTGCCAAAATAAAGCAGGGAAAGCAGGGCCGCATGCGGACGCAGCCACTGGGACCTTCGGTGGAGCTCCTTCTGGGGCCACGAAACGTGTGAGGGTCTGCCGAAACGGAGCGGGGCTGCATGCGGACGCAGCCACTGGGGCCTCCGGTGGAGCTCCTTCTGGGGCCAGAAAAAACGTGTGATGAGTCTGCTGATGTGGGGCGGGCCGCATGCAGATGCAGCAACTCGGGCCTGCGGTGGAGCTCCCCATGGGGCCACGAAACGTGTGGTGGGGTCTGCCGAAATCGGGCGGGGCCGCATGCAGGCGCAGCCATGTGGGTTTTCGATGCAACACCCTGTGGGGCCACGAAGCGTGCGAGGGATCTGCCGAGAATTGGGCGGGGCCGCGTGCGGACGCAGCCACTGGGGCCTTCGGTCGAGCTCCCCATCGGGCAACGAGACGTGTGAGGGGTCTTTCAGAAATGAGAAGACGGAAGACGATGACGACGAGGAATTCGAGGAAGGAGGGGGAGGAGGAGGAGGAGGAGGAGGAGGAGGAGGAGGAGGAGGAGCAGGCGGAGGAGACGCGCGGCGCTGCGGGTTCAAAACATGTAGCCAACAAAGGGGAGGGTTGGGAACTAAGGAAACTCCATGATGTTTGCTTCTCGGGGCCCTCTTGGGGGTTCTCTTGGAGGCCCCTTGGTGCGTCTTGGGCGCGTTTTCGGCTGACCGGAGGCCATATTGGGCGTCTTGTACCGATCGTACGGCGATTCCGAGAGGCCATCTTGGGCGTCTTGTACCGATCGTACGGCGATTCCGCGCCCTCGTGGACTGTCTGGGCTTGGGTGCAGGATCCTGCAGGATCCTTCGCATTGACCAGGGTTTGGGTGCAGGATCTTGCAGGCGCAGGATTCTGGAAGGCCTAACTGATCCGGGTCTGGATTGACCCAGGTCAGAAGATCCCCGAAGACTCCTCGGGTTTGAGGGCTGAGGCCAAGGGGTTAAGCGAGGGACCCAGGGGCACTCCACTTCAGAGCTCGAGCTGACCGGTGTTTGGGCGATTTCGGGGGCCGGGTTCGCCTGCATGTCGTTCCGCAGCCAAGGCAGAATGAAGACAGAACGAAGGGGCACGAAAACAAGACGGACACGAAAAAGCACTCTTTACCTCGAGCCTGCTCCGCTCCGTGCCGCAGGGGCACGGCGGCGGGCCCCCGGAGGGGCACGGGGGCCTTCGCGTTCCCCCCTGCGAACAGCGCCGGCGGCGAGAGCCTGCTGCCCGCGCGCACACGGGGCGGGGCACGGGAGGCGAGGGGGCCCTGGACCGCTGCCCCGACGCCAGAGCTCCGACGCTCCCACAGAGATCGGGGCAGCGGGATTCGGGCCGTTTTCGGCCTCCAGGGCGCTCCTCGCCGGGCCTCGGGAGCGTCAGAAGGCCGCTCAGGAGGAAAGACCGGCCCTGTAGGGAAGTGGTCCAGACCTCGGGGGCCCGCGCATCGAGAAAACTGAAGCGGCCGGATGTCTGGGGCTGGGCCCGAAGATCTTTGCGGAGTGCGGCAAGATGTCCCCCAAGATGCCCCCAGGTACTCGGAAGGCGGTCTCGGTGTCCGAGAGGCGGCCCAGGGAGGCTCCAGAACTGTTCCGGAATCCCCGAAGTTGCCCCCAAGAGGTTCCCGAGAGGCAGCAAGCATGGATTCCCCTTCAGGTTCTACATGTTTTCAGCGTTACGTGGCCTTTCGTCGGCTTCAGTGCAAAGGCTGGACGGTGCAAGGCTTACTTGACTTGACTTGACGGCGTAAAGGCTTAGAAAGGAGCCTAACTGGCCCGATCAGACTTAGAGACGTGTTGGCGCGGGGTTGGCGCGGGTAGATGTTGAGCGTGATGTTCGGTTCTGGTGTTCCTATTGTTGTTCTTGTGGTAATGCTTTATTCGCAGTGTGCTCCCCGCGCACGCGTTGGCTTTGCAGGTTTGGCCGTAAGGCGGCGCCAAACAGGTAGAGGCGACAGGCGCGACGCGCGTAGTTTTCGCATTGACAAAACAGGGCGCACATTTCGGGCGGGCGGGTACCCTGAGTATTCCAGCCGTGGACAGAGGCAGTTGGGGGAGGTGTTGGGCACGCCTGGCCACAGCCTGTTCCGCCTTAACTTCTTTGGACCTTTGCGGTCGTCATAACGTCATCGCCGTCGCGTCGCGACCTCCGCAGTCTACTTGCCACAACCCCGATGGCCCCGATGGCCATGCTCGCCTGATCCTCATTGTGCGTGACACTCGCAACCGCCCTGAATCGTCCGAGACAACCCAAAATCGCCCCCAGACGGCCCAAAAGGGACCCACGAGTTCCCCCAGCCGTCTCTAAACCCCGCCCAAGGTGGGCCCGAAACGCCCCAAGAGAAGGCCGCAGCACGGCCCGAGAGGGTTCCGAGCAAGCCCAGGGGAGCCCCAGCACGGCCCAGGAGAGCCCCAGCGTGGAAGCGCCGAGACCGCCCACCGCGTCCTTTTTCCGAGCAGCAGACGCAGCGGCAGGCACCCCATCCGCCCTGTGTTGGCCGACCTGCCGACCCAGGGTGAGGCCCTGTCGCGCATGGTGGGGAAGTGGCCGAGGAGGAGGAGGAGGAGGAGGAGGAGGAGGAGGAGGAGACGGAGGAGGAGACGGAGGAGGAGGAGGAGGAGGAGGAGGAGGAGGAGGAGGAGGAGGAGACGTATGCGTTTCACCGTTCCCTTCCCCCCCCCTTTTTTATGTCTTTCCATCTTAGCTGTGCTCGCATGGCGGTTCTTCGCTTCCGTATCCCGTTTTCCGCGTGTCATCGTTTCCGCGTGAGCCCATCGTCGATGAAAGGCGGGGTTTCTCATGGTGATGGGGAGGAGGAAGTGTCTTGTCCGTTCTGTGCGGGTTCACGCGCCGATATTGAATGCGGGGGGGCTTTCCCGCCTTCAAATCGAAGGCACGCATGCCTGGCATTTCACGGGCAGGATCGCACGACCTGCGAGTTGGTGGTCAGAGAGGGGAGGGGAGGGGAGGGGAGGGGAGGGGGAGGACAAGGAAAATGATGGGGGAGGAAGGGGGAAAAGGAGGGACCTTGAGATGAGGGAGCTGAGAGGGGTAGGGAGGAAGGAGGATGAGGAGGAGCAGCAGGTGCCGAAGATCCGTGGGAAAGGAAGGAGTAGCAGCAGCCGAGGAGGGGTGATAGAGGTGGAGATAGGGAGGAGATAGGGAGGGAGGGGGAGAGGGAGGGAGGGAGGGGGGACGGAGGGACCAGATGAGCGGGGGAGCGTATGGCAGCGCGTCAAAGGCGGGGCCCTCAACGAGTTCGCGCGGCGGTCGAGGCAGAAGAAGGCGGAGAGCCCGGGGGACATCAAGCCAGAGGTGGTCATGCTCCTAGCAGGCCGTGGTTCATGGGTCCGCGTGCCCTCTACAGCAGGAGGCGGAGGCCTCGTCGAGTGGTGATCCAACGGAGACGCCGGCGGCGAGTCGCCGCCGCCGCCTGCCTTTTGGAAAACGCCTGCGTCGTGGAGTGTCCAGCGAAAGAGCGAAACAACCATGTTGAGGAAATCATTGGTTTGGGCCTCTTGGGCCCCTCCTGGAGCTTCTGGGAAGCAGTTTGGACTTCTTATCTTGGGCCGTGTTGGAGCTGTCGTGGATCTGAACCCTCATGGGCCGTCTTGCAGGCCATCTTGGACCGTGTTGAGCCGTCTTTGAGGCCAATGTGAGGGCCTTCCTTGCCTTTGAGAAGTACCAACAAGAGTCGTAACATCCAGGACGCCGACCGCAAGCCACCGCTACCCCTTGCTGTTCTTGAAAACTCTTATACTTGTGCCAAGCTCTGGCCAAGCTATCGGGGTATGCGTTCTCCGCTGTAGAACCCATTTGGGGAACACGTGGACGAGAAAAAGAAAGGAGGATGAAGAGGAGGAGGAGGAGGAGGAGGAGGTCGAGGAGGAAGGCTCTCAGGGGCTCTCTTGGGCCTCCTGGGGGCCTCCAGCGGGTCCCCTGGAGCCTCTTGGGATCCTTTCTGGGCCGTGTTGGAGCTCTCGGGCGGTCTGCCTGAGGCACTCTTGGGACGTTGTGGGGCCGTCGTGGAGGCATCTTGGGCCGTCTTGGGAGCCATTCGGGTCGTCATGGGGGCTCCTTGGGCTATCTTGGAGGCCCCTGGGGCCGTCTCGGGCTGCTGGGAGCCCGAAAAGGCGACAACGCAAAACCACGGAAACAGATGAGGAACATGCATGATGTTGGCCTCTTTGGGCCCTCCTGGAGGTCTGCTTGGAGCCATCTTGGGAGGTCGTGGGGGCCTCCTGAACTGCCTTGAGGAAATATTGGCCCGTGGTAGAGCCCATCTTAGACCATCTCGAGCAATCTCTGGACCATGTTGGGCCGTCTTGAAGACGTCTGGGGACCATCCTGGATGCGGTGTTGGCCGTCTTGCTGACACATGTTCTGGGCATGGCAGTTATTTCCGGTGGTGTCCAAAGGTTTCTGGTTTTCATGGGTTACTTGCGGCATTGGCAGGGACCCTCTTTGGAATTTGTTGCAAGGGCCAATGATATTCACAAGTCCGGCACGGGAAACGTGCCACTGCAGAGGCGAAGGGGGCGGCCGGTAATGGAAGGCGCGTTTCGCGTGCGATCCGTTAGTCGGTAGGAAACGGGGGGGAGTTCGAAGGGGCTGGCAGCCCGACGCCTAGATAACGGAAGGCGTGGTTCACGTGCCATTCATCAATTAATCGGGAGGAAGATGTGGGGGAGTTCGAGGGGATTAGCAGCCAGACACCCAGATCAAGATGCCCGCGTTGGAGCGGAAACAGCGATTTCGCGAGTGACAGCTTCCAAAAAATGCGATATGCTGAACGTAGTCTTGGGATCGATCTTGGAAGGCAGCAAGACGGCCCAACAAGACGTCCCAAGAGGGCCCCAAGACTGCCCCAACATGGTTTCCAAGAGGGTCCCAGACGGTTTCCAAGACGTCTCAAGAGGGTCCCAGAGGCCCCGAGACGGTCTTAGCGCGTTCCAAGGCGAACCAAGGTGGCCTCAAGACGGCCCGAGAGGCTCCCAAGAAGCCCCAAGAGGGCCTCCAAGAAGACCCCCAAGATGGCTCCAAGAGGCAAAACACTATGGTTTCCCACTGCTGTTGATCGATGTGAGCGTTCTCGCATTTTCAAGCGCCCGGCTGGCCAAGAGGGCTCAAGAGGCTGCCGAGATCGCTCGAAGACGGCCCAAGAGGCTCCCAAGAGGACCGCAAGACGGCCCAAGATGACCCGGAGATGGCCCGAGAGGCTCCCACGATTGCTCCACGACTGCCCCAAGAGGGGACCCAGAGATGGCCCAGAGGGCGCGAAGGTGACACCAAGATCGCCCAAGGTGCCCTCCAGATTGTCCAAGAGGCCCAGAGACGGCCGAAGAGCGTTCGGCTACGGCCCACGATGACTCCAATGCGGCCCGAGATGCCCCCAAGAAGCGCCCTCTTCGGGGCCGACAAATGGCGATATCGCGAGGGACATCCTAAAACAATCATATACGCGACATCATCTTGGGATTGCCCTTAGAAGGCCCCAAGACGGCCCAGCGTAGCCCAACAAGACGGCCCAAGATGGCCCCAGTATTCCCCAAGGTTGCCCCACCACGGTCTCCAAGAGGGTCCAAGACGGTCCGAGATGGGTTCCAAGAGGTTTCACGAGGGTCCCAGAGGCCCCGAGACGGTCTTAGCGCGTTCCAAGGCTGACCAAGGTGGCCTCAAGACGGCCCGAGAGGCTCCCAAGAAGCCCCAAGAGGGCCTCGAAGAGGACCCCCAAGTTGGCCCCAAGAGGCAAAGCACGATGGTTTCCCATTGTTATTGTTTGATTTGAGCGTTCTCGCATTTTTTGAGCGCCAGACGGGCCAAGAGGGCTCAAGAGGCTGCCGAGATCGCTCCAAGACAGCCGAAGAGGCTCCCGAGAGGGCGCAAGACGGCCCAAGATGACCCGGAGACGGCCCGAGAGGCTTCCAAGACGGCCCAAGATTGCCTCAAGACGGCCCCAAGAGGGTACCAGAAGGGCGCGAAGGTGACACCAGGATGGCCCAAGGTGCCCTCCAGATTGTCCAAGAGGCCCCGAGACGGCCGAAGAGCGTTCGGATACGGCCCACGATGACTCCAATGCGGCCCAAGAGGCTCCCAAGAAGCGCCCTCTTTGGAGCCGAAAATGGCGATTTAGCCAGGGGCATCCTCCATCAATTGAAATATGTTCGACATCGTCCTGATATCGCTCTTGGGAAGCCTCAAGACGCCCCAACAGAGCCCAACAAGACGGCCCAAGACAGCCCAAGATGGCCCAAGATGAATGTGGTCTCCAAGAGGGCCCAAGACGGTCGAAGATTGCCTCCACGAACACGCCCTCTTTGGGGTCGAAAATGGCGATTGCGTTGCAGATATCTTGTGTTGTCCTCACCATCGTCTGGGTATCGTGGCGGCAGCCATGGCATTCCCCCCCTCTCTCCTGCCCATGGCGTTCCCCCCTTCCCCCCCCTCCTCCCCGGGCCTGAATGGTGGCGTCAGCCCCCCCCCCCCTCATGCATCCCGGGCCTGAATGGCGTCAGCCCCCCCCCCCCGACAGAGCGAAGCTCCCCCCCACTCCTTCCTTCCCTGGCCTGAATGGCGTCAGCCGACCCCCCCCCCCCCCCTTCCCTCCCCCCTCCCGGCGTGAATGGCGTCAGCCCCTCCCCCCCCCCCCCGACAGAGCGAACCCCCCCCCCCTCCTCCCTCCCGGGCCTGAATGGCGTCAGCCCCCCCCCTCCCCTCCTCTCTCTTCCCTTGGCGTTCCCCCCCCCTCCCTCCTCCCTCCCAGGCCTGAATGGCGTCAGCTGTTCTCAGGACGGCCCACGAGGCTCCAAGAAGCCCCAAGACGGCTTCAAGAGCGTCCCTGATATGGTCTCAAGAGGCAAAGATCAACAAAAAATCCCAGAGGTATTTGAGCACCTCTCCCGACAGGCAAAGGTGGCGCCAGGGGCCGCCGAGGTCGCTCCAAGACGGCCCAAGAGGCTCCCAAAAGTGCTCGAAGACGACTCCGGAAGGCCCGAAGCGGTCCCGAGAGTCCCCAGTCGGTCCAAGAGAGCCCTAGGATTCCCTAAGGATGAGACAAGGGCGAGAGAGAGAAGACATAAGAGGAGAAAGGACGGACAAGCCAGCGACCTCGCGCCATCACAAAGTACGACGAAAAGCGCACGTGGCGTGCGGTCCGTTAGTCGAAAGGAATGAATCTAGTGGGAGTTCGAGGGGGGTGGCATCCCCAGCCCCAGGTTGAACACGCCCCCGCGTAAGCTCGCGGAAGCTCCGCGTAAGCTCCGCGTATGTCCCGCGCTCCGCGCAAGCTCCGCGTAAGAGCGTCAGCTCCTCGGAAGTAGCAGTCGATTTCGGCTGTCTTAGGGGCCTCCTGGGCTTTGCTTGGGTGCCCCAGCCCGCGAAAGTTTTGCGTAAGCCCTGCGTAAGCTCCGCGTAAGCTCACGTAAGCTCCGCGTAAGCGCGCAAGCTCCTCGTAACCCTGAGGTACGTCCACGCCAGCCTAAGAGAGCGGCACAATATGGTTGCTTGAATTCCCCACAAAAAGCTTTTTTATTCAAAAAAAACGCTACCCAGGAGGGCCTGAGGAGGAAAAGAAGCGCTCAAGAAGGCTTGAGGACGCTATCATGAGCGCTCCACGACGGTCCAAGATGGCCCAAGAGCGATCCAGAACGTTCCGAGACGGCCAAGAGGTCTCCAAGACGGTCCAAGATGGCCCAACGGCGCTCAAAGATAGTCCAAGAGCGCTCCAAAACGTTCGGAAACGTCCCAAGAGCGCTCCAAGACGGTATAAGATGGCCTCACGGCCCAAGAGGTCTCGAAGATTCCCCCAGAGGCCCCAAGAGGATTCCCAAGAGAGAGGGGGGGCTAAATACGTGGATGTGTTTTACGCTGTTGAAAGTTCTTGAGCGTGTCTCCGATTCGGGCCAACTTCGGCCCGAGACAGCTTTGGGAGTCCCCGAGATTGCGTCAAGATGGCCCATGAGGCTCCCAAGAGGGCCTCAAGAAGGCCCAAGAGGGCCCCCAAGACGGCCCAAGAGAGCTCCAAGTCACGGCCCAAGGAGTGCACACGAGGCTCCCCCGGAAGCCCAGAACACTACAAAGAGGGCCGCAACGCGACATGTCAGTCAAGAGAGCAGGGATAAGGGAAACCATGATAAGATGAGATAAGAGCGAAGGGTAGATGAGAAAGAAGAGCTGATTGCCTTCTGTGAGGCCGACAACAGCGATCCCGCGATGGACATCCTCAAACCAATACGATATGTTCAACATCGTCTTGGGATCGTCCTTGGAAGGCCACAAGACAGCCCAACATAACCCAACAAGACGGCTCAAGAGGGCCC